CAATAAGTGTTTATTAAATTTAAGAAAAAAGACGACTCATTTAACATGTACTTACGATTAGTTGTCAACTCAGTTCTAGAGTACATGATTACTTCTGGTCATACACAAATAGCAGAGACTTCATTCAGACTCATTTATAAAGTACAAACAAGCCATTCAGAAGCATTTCGTCTACATTATTCTTCATACAACTGTAGCTCTATCGATCCATAGGAAAGAGGTTCTACTTTGTGTTTAGAAATTTTTCCTTCAGTTTCTTCTACTACCGTGGCCTCAGAATTAATATTTTGTTTTCCTGAATAGTTGTACAATAATCAATAAGTTTCTAAATGATCATTTATCAGTTCACTGATTAGCTGTCAAATGTCTTTGGATTACATAAGATTATTCCCTATTTTTCATTGTTATTTCTCGGACACTTTTATCTATTCTCTTAATAGGTGCGTCCATAGCGGATGATTGATTACATGATATGGGGATTTTTTATACCTTGGAGAAATTCACGTTTTGAATCTTTTCATATCAGTTCAGTAGAAACTTGTGCGAGTAATATGCTTACACTGGTTGTCACTCGGCAACCCTACCAACCAGTGTGATGGATAAGTTAGTTGATATCGGTTCAATTTATTCTTACCAACTGAATAATTAGTCGCTGGTATCACAGTAATACAAGCAGTAATTCAGGCAGTTAAAATATTTACTGATAAAAGGGGTGGTGAAAGTGGAATAAAAAAACAGAAGGCGAAGTGAAGTATATACTTAAAAAGCCCAATATGTTTGGAGATATTTTGACTTGTGTACAGATAATAAATTCGCTCCGTTCTTCTTTACAACTGTTAAAAGTGACTGCTGAGAATTATGGTTATGATAACAGCTGTGTGAGTTCTGTTTCCCATGTCAAATAATATAATATAATTCGTAATATTAAGATGAAGGATACAGTGTTAAGTGAAGAGAAGAAGTCAATCAACGAGGATGTGGTGGCTAGGTTACGGGTTGAGAATACCAAGTCATCTTCTTTTTTATCAATCAACGTTGGATGATGGTAGACTGGAGTGAAGAATGGTTAAGGGGCGGGGAAGGGGAAGGGAAATAAAAACGTGTCATCATTCCTGGAATCTATGAATTCCTTGACTGTTGGACTGAACAAGTGATAATGTGTAGACTGCTTAACCAAAGTCCTCGAGACATTGACATCAAGTGTCGGAGACAATTAGAGATATGGCTAGCAATCATCCTCAGTGGTTGAGATGCATTTTGTCTCTGCTAGATTCATTAGATGCCCATTATTCTCCATGTAATTTTTCTTTTTCGATTACATTTCCGTTAATGATGACTTCTTTGCAATACTTTTATTCTCTATCTTTATTTCCGAGTTTATGAAATATGGCAACTTGAACTGTTACACTTTCTTGCAAAGTCGCACACTGAAATCTCAATATGTTTGAACACTAATATCTTTAGGTTGTTATTAGTAACCTTAAGGATGTGTTTTCTCTACAAATCGAATAAATATAACTTCAAGTTCAGAAAATAACCATCCCGTACAGCACAAAGTAGGTATAAGCAACTTAACCAGTAAAATTATATTTGAATTGTAGCCTGTACAAGAAAACTTTTCTATTTATGCATATAAGCCACAAAATCTTGCCACATTATTTCAGTAACCATATTTCTCAGAATCGAAAATTATCCCTATGATTTGGATTCCTATTCCTTTCAAAAGTTGATTATAAACAAGGTTCACTCAGCTTAATTTGACTTATTCACATTTTGTCGGTTATTCAGGGGACATCTGATATGCATTTCTTTGCATTTAAGGTAGAAAGCAGAGCTTCAAACTTGAGCTTTGAAAGTGTAGTGGCACTGGTTTGAGGTTGATAGCCTCACTCACAACCGTCCTTCTTTTCCAGGCTCACTGACCGCTAAACAAAGTGTAGCACTGCACAGGAGAAGAATCTAATCCATCCCTTCCCCGTAGCATTCTGAGGGTTAATAATTCCTATGTAAATTTTGACGCAAAGTTGTAGATTTTGTATGACAGCCTACGGTTTTTAATCAACTTGTGTGTTCAACGCACTTCAAACTAATTGAAAATAAGTCATTCTGAGGGATTTCAGATAGGTGAATGAGGCTTATTAGTAATGTTCCTTCATAAAATGATGATTTGGGAAAATGACTAGTGTCAAAAGATTGGCTCTTATATACTCCACAAAAATTTAATAAATTCAGTGTGAGCAAAGAATGTAAAGTAGTCAGTTTTTTAAATGACTAATCTAACAAGCTAACTCTTCTGAAAATCCGCTCAAGTATTAGCCAAATTATATGTTACACAGAAAATCGATTCTAAACACGTCTTTGAGTGTCACTGCATGTGTCATATTCCTTTGATTGGTCCTGCTGCATTCCGTGTGAGACATAAGGCTTTAAACTTGAGCTTTGAAGTTCCAGTAGCAGTGGTGTTATTTTTAGGGTGTGGGATGGCTATCCTTACTCTCGACCTTCTTCGTTCTCCTGATTTACTGTTTGTCGTCCAATAAACTAGAGGTGTAAGAGTGCGTCAACAGGGAATGTAAACTGACTTTCCTTGTGGCTGGTCAGCATTTTACCATTGAACTACATGCCTTATTATAAGATGCTTACATGGAAATGAGCACAAACAGTAGTAAGTGGGATACAGTTTTATCTTCGGATTTGTCCGAAGACGGTGACTATTAACAAAGAGAAGATGAACAGATATATGGTAATAAAAATGTGCAATATATCAGGGGTGTTACAGATTATTTTAGAATTGATTTAATCGCAGTTTGTTTTGTCAAAACACTCCTTCGAAATATTAGGAAATAGACTGTTAGAAATAATAAAGCATCAATATTGACTAGTCACTAGGGTGTAACCTACGCCATGCGAGTAGTCCTTGTTACTGGTGCACACTGATTTCTGCTATCAGTCAAGTTTTCAATAATGTCACCAAGCTAGGTGGCTGGCCATCGTGGTGCAGTCTGAATTAGTATTAGGTGGTTGGATGCAATCGACAAACACGCGTTACTGAAGAATGCCAGCCAAAAGGAGTAAAACCTTATCTTTGGTCAGCCCACTGGTATCTGCTTCTAATGCTGTTAACTTAAATGGTTTAATGGAAAGTCAAAGAAACAAAAGATTCATCTGTGTTTGAGGGTGATTCAATTACAAACACGCTAGTACGATATAAAGTGCCAAAGCCTTGACTTGCTGCTTTAGAATCATACAAAATAGTTATCCTCATATTTTCTGAGATTAAATGTGCGTGATAAATGTGCTATCGGGTATTTTGTCTATTGGGGTTGAACAAAAACCATAATATAGTGCGCTCTAATATTTATGATGCATACGACTACGAAAATTTCGTCTTTATTAGGAAGAATTCGTAAGATTCCTAGAGGCGGCCTGCTTAAATCATTGGGCTACCGAAATTACTTTCCTCCAAAATGCTTAATTTTATCTGGATTTATAATTGTTTTAATCGTCCAGTTATATCAAATGACCTATAAATAAACTTGCGCGATGATTTAACTTGCTCCCAAGTAAACGCTGTATAATTATTCAACGAAATGAAGATATACTTCAGATTATTAATTTACATGTGAATCCTGTGTGAAGAAAAAAGTACTTTGGAACTGAATACGCTGAAAAATTTTGTACCGTATATTGGCATACTGTCTCAAATAAAGCTTTACCATTATTATTATTAAGAATCTTGTGGAGACCAAATTGTTTATCTCCATGTGCGTCGGTGTCACAGTGGTTAGGACTCTCGCCGACCATGCACATGGTCCGGGGTTCGAGCCCGCACCGACAAACATCTGATATCTATAGTCGGCCTGCAAAATTTGGGCTACCGATATCCATGCTGAGAATTCCATACTTGTACCAAAAATACAGTGTGGAATCAAGCTGTAAATCAAAAATTTAAAAAAATAATTAAATAAATGAACTAAAGTGCACAACATGCAGATTTTACCGTAATGTTAATAAAATTTATTGCTTCTCGCAGACTATTTTTCTAAATTTGGAGAAAAACAGAAAGGTTTGGGCTCTAGGTTCACTGCTAGTAGTTCATTCGCTACTCAAAACAGGAACGGATCGGCAATTTACAAAATAGTGTCACTACCTTGGATAGATTTCAGGATCACATCTCTTTTTTTCACACTAAGAGCAGCTTTATGAAGGCAGTATTCCTGGTGCGTCACATGTATCTTTGATAAGCTATCAGACAATGCCTTAATGAAAGCTCTCTGAAGAAATCAGAGTTCTTTAAAACTATTTAGTGCAATTTCAGTGCACTTTTTAGAATGGGAAAGTATGTCCAATAACTTGTGTAAAGTTGGCACTCCTAAAGTTCCGCAAGAATGGAAGTATTTACCAGAGGCCTAAAAAGATTGAGTCTTGGTAAATGCATACTATGAGGACTAAAACTTTACATACAGTCTTCCATATTTCACACAAAAGACTATTGCATGAGTAAAAATTACAAACTTTGTTTTACCACTTTGTCTTAGCACTACATTAGTGAATACATACAGGTAGAAATGTCGCAGGTAACATTTTGTTCGGGCGCATTGCAGACTTTTAGAGACAGACTTAGGGCGCATTGCAGACTTTTTGGGGCAGACTTAGGGACACTGTCCCACGTAAGTAGATATACCTGAAGTTTTTGCCCCAAAAAGTCTGCAATACGCCCGAAAAAAATGCTAGCTGGGGTATAGCGAAAAGCCGAAATATTTTTACATTTACAGCACTGAATTTCTTCATTGAAGAAGAAATGAATGAAATTAATTGGTAACCAACATAAAATACAGAAATAAATGATAAAGTAGCACAAACACAAAGAAATTATAAAATATTTGTGTCTGAATCAAAAAGCTTTTAAGTTCGAAAGTATTTTGTTAGGTACGGAAACCGTGAAACTACAGCTGATTTATATATGACGGATGATCATTAAATGAAGTGAGAAAAATTACCATAAATTATGCTTATTTTCACTTTCCATGTCACGCATTTTGCAGAGCAATTTGAAATATCGCTAGTTATATCAAGTAGTTGTTGATTTATTATAAGCAATAAGGTCGCATTCGAAGATTCAATATCCAATATCCAATATCCTGATTACGAGCTAGTATAAACCAGTGATTTCTTTGAGCTCGCTTCTTGATTGTGAGGTAGAGGTTCCAGATCTTCGGTGAGCTTCTGCGTAGTAAGTCCCGACACTCGACTGCTTTAGCTCTGGTAGACTCCAGGAGCAGTGGTGCGGGGATTGGTCGAGATGTGGTTTGTAGTATGCAGTATGTTAGGACTGTATTGCTGCCGTGAATGGAGTTTGACCTAACTCCCCTTGGTCATTCGGTGTAGTCATGAAAAGCAGAATAGTAGTAATAATAATAAGAATAAAAATAATGGGTTGTAGTGTAGGTAATATTGGTTGAGATAAGTGGAATAATAAAGGTGACATAAGGAAAAGATAGAGTGAGAGAAGGCAGAATAGGTCGTGGGGATTTAGTTTGTACGCTTATCCATTGACAGTGTGGTTTCAAATTTTATGAGGATAAGCCATTGAGACACAAACCTTGCATTTCTGCATGATTCAATAGAAAATAGACACATGTAACCTGATAATATTTATTAGTGAAACATTAGTAAAGCAGCTTGTAAATTTACGACATCTGAATTAATAATTTAATATTAGGCTGTATTATTATTATATCCTTTAATTCCTAGAGGAACATAAGGCTTCATCTGCGCACCTCCATTGCCTTCTGTTTTCTGTCAACTATTTCACCCCGATCCAAGTCTGCCCACATGCTTTCATCTCCTCTTCACATGACCTCCTCCAAGTCACCCTTGCACTGACGACCAACTCGCCGCTTCCCTTTCGGCTTCCACTCGAGCAATGGCTTGTCTAGTGATGTCACTCACTTGATGGTTTCCTCAGAGTATGGCCAATCCACCAACTGCATTTCTTCCTGCCTACTTGTTTCACAATCGGTTCCTGGTTGGTTCGCTCATTGCCAGAGATCCCTGTTGCTGATCTTTTCTGGCCGGCCATCTGATCTTGAGTGGTATTGAGGGAAGACAGTAAGCTGTTGATGAAGGTCTGAAGTTTGCTTGAGATGCTCTTTATGATGCGCAGTGCAATTCTCTGATCCGTATAGTGGGTACCACTGACTGAATTCACATTGGAGTTGAAAATCCGGGTCTTATTTTTGATGATGAGTGCTGTTGACCTCCACACAGACTGGAGAGTAATGGGCTTGTCTTGCTTTTCCGATTCTAGCTTTGATATCCTCGTCAGATCCGTCCACCTGTAGTTGAAACCATGCTTCCCAGGTAGGTGAAGGAGATTGTTTCTTTCAAATTCCTCCCATTTATGTTGACTTATTGTTGTCTGTTGTTGTTGTTGCTGTTGGTGTTTCCCAGGAATCTCCATCACCTACCTCTGTGTTATCTATGTAGTCCTATCTTTGATGCTTCTTCCTTTGTTGACTTGTTGCTTTTCACTTGCATATCTTCCAGCTTGTGGGAAATCAGACATATATCATCGGTGAAGTCCAGATCCCATTCATTATATCTTACTTAAGGGATTTATTACCGCTATGTACTAACAATGTTAGGTTTACATTTGGAGCGACTTTATTGCATATCCCCTCAATGACGCTTGTTGCTATGTTGCTATTGGTTTCAAGTGGCCTTGTTTTTGGGGGAAGATATAACTGATGTAATATTGCGATTCCATAGACATAAATCAGGCTCATAGGTGAAAGGAAGTTATTATCCTGGAATAAGGAAAATTGTCCTTAAATTGTTTATAAGGTAATGAGAACATTATTTTTCAGTTTATTTGTATATATACTATTGTGCATCGAGTTGCACTGAGTTCCTATAGGAACTATAGTGCAACTCTTTGTAACTGCATTTACATAAAGTAAAACATTACAAATTCTCCTGTTTTTAGAATAAAAAAGATGATTCTTTTCATTATTGTAGTAATAAAGAATAAAATTTCTCCAACGTCAGTGTTATTTAATTGAAGTTTTAATCTCTGTAGGCCCTTAAAGGAATAAATTCGGCACCGAGAACTCCTATAGAAACCGAAAGTACTTTTAGTTTACTAAATCTTACCGACCAGCGAGCGCGCTCCTTGAATAAGACGTCCTTTTCCTCTCCAACCGGAAATATCCAATTTTGTGAATTATTCGTTTGGGAAACCTGATCTTCCTATCCGGCGAATTTTATTCAACCATTTCTTCCTCACCGAGCCTGTGTGTGGTACTTCCCGCTGTCTCGAACTACTGCCAAAGCTTCAGGTGCTACTTCTGTAGCAACATCCTCCTCACTCTTTCAAATAAACAGGACTTGTGGGTCTGTTACGTGATTGCTGTGAAGCCGAATAACCCGAAAGTTACAGGTAAAGTCAAAAGCTTTTACTTACACACTTTATCCTTCTTTTCTGTGCTCTCTATTGTCTTTTGCTGTAAGTCTATTGGACAAAATAACAGTCTCTTATTATTTAATCACCAGTATTAATTTAGGAGTAAAATGACAATAGATTCTCACCCTAAAATAAGTAATGGGACATCATACTCTGTAGTCACCAGGGCTTCAGCCAAACTAGGCAAACAGGTGAAGCTGATGGACTCACGCATACCGGTCTTGAAGACCAGGGCTGATATTCCCAGCTCGTACAAATTACCCATGTCGCCACAGTCCTACAGTGAAGCTGTGCAAAGTCAGCCAAGTGGATGTGGCTCCACCCCTGTTAACACGACTAGGTTAACAGATCCGAGTGGGAAAATTGCACTAAGTGAGAACTGCATAACACCCATCCCCATGGTAGACCATGAAACAAATAGGAAGGCCAAAAAGAAACGTTCACGACGTCGCAAGACGACAAGAACGCTCCCCAAGAAGGCAGACGACTGCAAGGTCTGCGCTTCTGTTGTCGAACAAGCAGACTCTGCTTTCGAATGTAACTTTTGCAAGCGATGGGTGCATTGCAGATGCGACAATGGGGTACCAAAAGCATATTATGACTTTATGCGTAAAAACCCATGCCAATGGTTCTGGTACATATGCCCGAGTTGCCGTCCTGATGTAGCCTCGCGTAGTCCTTTGAAAACTAAAGATGGTGCAGAAGTAGCGGGGAAAAATATGAAATGCTCGACCCCCACCAATCCGGAAATTAGTACAAATGCGCGTAAACCGGGGATACCAAAATCCTCACCGGTTAAACTTGTAACTCTTGACATAACCGCTCCAGACACAGAGGCTGGAGAACCACGGGTTTCCGTCGTTGGAAAAAGACCCCTCTCGTCTGCCAGTAATATTGGCCATAGCACTGAGACACAAAAAATACCCAGTCGCACCAGACAAACCAAAACGGTCTTAAAGGAAATCACAAACGTGCGAGGACCGAGCCCAAGCCCACGGTTAGTAGATCAAATTGTGTAATCCTCTTTAATGTACCAGACTGTAGCAGTAGTCTGCTGAAAGATAGGGCCCTATTTGATCAGGAACAGTGGTCCATCTTGTGTAGCACACTGGGTTTGGACATCCAACCAGTAAATCTATGCAGATTGTATAGGGGCACTGCTGCACCTGAAGGCAAACCATCCCCACTGAGGGTAACATTGGGCTCTACCGAGGATGTTGAAAAAGTGTTACTGGCTTCTCAAGTCCTTTCTATAGGGAGGGCCTGTAACATACGTGTTAAGCCAGACAGGCCGTGGAAGGAAAGACAAATGGCGAGGGAGTCGCCAGAGCTCATTCCTTCTGCCTCCATGGTTGTGCATGGCATTCCCGAACTGGTAACTGGGAACGCCTGCGAAAAGCATTGTCATGATGTACAACAATGGAGATGGTTAGCATCCCAGATGGCCCTGGGAAGTTCAGGGGCTGTCTCTATTTATAGACTGCCTCGACCCACTCATCTTATGTCAATTAACTCGCCACGTCTGTTAGCTGTCAAGTTCAGCTCCCAAGACCAGTTGACTACCGCTCTCCATAGATGGTACGAGACCAAGGACAAGGTCAGCAAACACATTCGCTGCTGCGAGAGCCGGCCTCGCACTCAAAGGAGAGAACAAAGCGTAGTAAAAGAAAATCCTCAACCCCTAGTCACACTACAGCGGTGCAGCACGGACGATGATAGCCAGTGTCATCCGAGTGCTCCAACTGAACTAGAAGAAAAAAACGCCAACAGGCCGGTTCCTGGGGAATCGGCCAACTAGTTCGTAGGATAACTCCTCAACCGATAGCCAATATCAAGTCAACTACCCCCCAATACGGGGAAGTGGTGAGACTGACTACCAGTTGCCTGTATAGTAATGTGAGAGGGCTAAGAGGCAAAATAGCTGAACTTAGACACCTACAATCACAACTAAACTCCAAAATCATAATACTGACGGAAACCTGGCTAACCCCTACGGTGGCAGACAGCGAAGTCAGTATAAATGATATGGTCCTAGTCAGGCGAGATAGGGACCTGAAAGAAGGAGGTGGAGTCGCCATATACGTCGACAAACAGCTCAGATGTGTTCACGCGATGGACCCTCCCCTCACAGAGCTCCCTGACTCCATATGGTGCCACTTCACCGTTGGGTACTGCAAATATCTAGTGGGCAGCATTTATCGATCACCTTCATGTGGAGCAGACCACAACCAGGTACTGCTAAATACAATTTCAGCGACTCAAGACATGGGTTATGATCAAATTGTCATAGCTGGTGACTTCAATGCCCCATCTCTTAACTTGGTGTCGGGAAAAGCCCATGATAGATTTGATCGAAATCTGCTGCATACCATCAGGAAGGCTGGATTCACTGAAAATGTCAAGATGGATACTAGATGGGGCCCTGATGGGAAGTCTTCTAGACTGGATTACGTGCTCACTAGTGACCAGCTACTAGTGGAAAACGTTCAGATCACGACTCCCATAGGTAGTAGTGACCACGCGGTCATAGTATTCGACATAGTCCTCCGCGAGCGCTTACAGTGGGACAATAC